TCCAAACCTAAAGAAAAACTTCAAGAACTTTGTAAGAAAATCTCAAACGTCCTTCTCTTATGCACAGATGAATGGTGGTGGAGGTAGCGGGGGTCGGCCTCTTTTCCTAGGGGGCTGTTTCAGGGCCCCCGGGGCCACTGCAACCCACTCGCCGGAGGCTTTTGGCAGCCGCGTCTCCCGTGCTGTGTATCACCAGACCTCCCCACTGTTTCGAGGGCTCCTGGACGGCCCTTCTCCGGGCTGGCTGCAGATGGCGTGTGCTGCCAGGGGCCACGTCTCTTTAGTGTCCTTTAGTGACAACATTCCCAGGTCTTTTTCCTTCCTTTCACGAGGATGAAGCCTCTCAAGTGTCCACCGCTGCAGAATGCCCCTCGGCCTGGAGAAGGGATCATCTCCACACCGTGGGGCTCGGGCTCGGGCTCTCAGGCGGGGCATGAGGAGGACGTCACTTTGGCAGTGGCGCCACATCAGAGCCCTCTGTGATGCAGGCCAGGCCCCGTGCCTCGGCACTGACGCAGGCGCCTGTGGGTCACCTCCCTGGGCCACGGCCGCAAACAAAGCCTCCTTCTCTCTCTCCCTCTCCTTTGACATTCAGTTCTGAGTCTCACTGGCTGGGCTGTGGGCTGGGGCCGCACTGCAGAGCTGCCTTTGGGAGGCGAGCTGGACGCAGGCAAATAACTGAAGCAGCTCTGTGCAGTCTGAAGGCCTTGGGGACACTGAGAGTCCCCTTTCATCAATTCAGGAAGAACAAATGCACCTCCATATTTGGAATTACATTTTTAAAAAGTCAGGTGGGAGTTCAGGGTCAAAATCGAACTGGTCAACTGCCAGTATTTTAAAACAATTGGACACATTCATAATTAGACCACCCAAAATATGAGTCCTGGTTTTCATATTCAAAACTGAGGATGTCAAGTCAAAGGGAGACACCCCTGAGCCCTCCACTCTGCAGGAGGCAGGTTCTTGCGCAGAGTCCAGAAACCACTGGAAGAACCACCCTCAGCAGTAAGGCTTCTCGCTCTAGGGGTGGAGGACGCCTTCCGATGTCCCCTTTTAACAGAAAGACGTACTTCACCTGGACACACATCACCCACTGCTCGCAAACCACACATAACTCAGGCCAGGTCCAGACATGGCCAGTGAACATGGAGGGCCAGTTTCACCTGCAGAGTTTCTGTCCCACTCGCCCTCTGATGGCGTGCGTTCTCCAGAAAGTTCCTTTATGCAGCAAACCAGTATTGAACACCACTGTGTACAAGGCACGGGAAATAGCAGCTGACGCGGTTGGAAATCACCTGCCACCATCCCGACCACAGGCCAGGGAGAGGAGAACAGAACCAGCTCGGGGTCGATCCTGTCCACCTGGTGGAGTTTTCTCAGGCAAAACGGGCAGCTCTGCAGGCTGCGGGCCTCGGGAAAACTAGAGTGGCTGCATATGGCTGCGGGGAACACCACGGCTAGGCACAGGCTGCCTCTCTTTCTCTCTTTCTTTTTTATTCAGAGTGATGTTTCCAAAGCACCTCTCTCTAAGGTACAGGCTGAAGGAGGGGCAGACCAACCCGGGCCCAGTGGCAACCCTGATGTAGGCTGGAGCAGCGCCGTGGCACAGGAGGGCTCACAGCTGCCAGAGCTGGGCAGATGCCCTCAGGGAACAAGCCCCTGGGGACAGCATCCTCCAAGAGGAAGGGTGGGGACGTCAGTGTTAGGCAGCCTGGGTAAGATCCTTGTCTTCCTGGGCGTCCCGGGAAAACACTGTCTAAACGTTTCAATCAACTGTCATTCACTCCCAGAAATCAATCACAGAGCAAACTCCAGTGAGAGCAGCCGGTTTCTGAATCCTTCAAGAGTATAAGGCATGTTAACAGGTGCTTCCTGTCTTCCTCAAACCTCCTACCCCATCGCTCAGATAATGACATAATAAAATTAACAAACCTAGGTTGGCATTAGGAGGACGGATGTGAAAGTGCTTTTGACACCTGGGAGTAAAGATGCCTAGCAGGCGCCCGGCACGCCCACAGCCTGTGCCCTTCCCGTCCCAGTGAGGGGATTTGCTGGGTGTCCCACCCATTTCTGATGTGTTCCCTGCTGTCCAGTGATGAGGGCTTGGCGGGGGAGGGGCATGTGGGGTGGGGGTGGTGAGCCTATTTTGTGATGCCCAGTGGGCAGCAGGGGCCAGGCTGTGGCCTGTGCTGGGCATCTGGTCTGACGCGGCTGCCACCCTGGAGCAAGGCCCCAAGGGGCCCGTCTCCTCAATCCTGAGCCTGCAGCCCCATGATGGCTCACACACTGGGATGGATTTGGGCCACAGCCAGCTGCCATCTCCCAGAGGCCTTCCCCACATCAGCCCCGCTGGACTGGACACCACGCAATCAAAGCCTTCGACCACTGCCAGGGCTGAGCTGACTCTTCTTCTAGGCTGGAACCGTGGGGCTTGAGAGAAGGAAATTGGGACGAGGCAGGCGGGAGGGGTTAATGATATCAGGAGGTCAGGGCTGCCGGAAGAGGCAGCAGTGCTGGCGCTGGAGGGCTCGCTCCCCACAGCTTTGCCTCTGCACTTGCTGGGGATCCTGGTACTTCACCTTCCAACTCCTGTCTACCTGTGCTGGAAAGTCTGTCTCCTCCCCAATCCTAACCCCAATTTTTCACCCTCAGGGAAACCACAGAAGACCCTGAGCCTCCGGACAGGCGGACAACCCAGGACTGGTCCTGAAATCCAGGGAAGCAACGGGGGCGGGGTGGAGTCGGGGCCGCACTTTTACAGGAGAGACAATAAACCGAGAAACGATTCCGTCTCTCCAAATCTGCCACAGGTTTCTCAACGTTTCTTCTGAAAATCACCCCAGACGTTCCCCTCGCATCAACTCATCCTCTTTCTTCCTTGTAACAGCTTTATTGGGATATAATTCACATACCATCCAATTCACGCTTTTAAATGATATCACTTGTTGTTTTTAGTATATTTACAGAGTTGCACCATAGTCCAATTTTGGAATATTTTCAACATCCCTAAAAAAGAGATGCTGTTCCCCTGGCAATGCTCCCCATCTGCCCGCAGCATCCCAGGCCCGGCACCTACAAATCTGCATCCTGTCTCTGTGGGTCTGTCTGCTGTGGACGTTTTATGTGCATGAAATCACGCCACACGCGGCCTCTTGTGCCTGCACCCTGCTTCCTCACGCCACACGCGGCCTCTTGTGCCTGCACCCTGCTTCCTCACGCCACACGCGGCCTCTTGTGCCTGCCCCCTGCTTCCTCACGCCACACGCGGCCTCTTGTGCCTGCACCCTGCTTCCTCACGCCACACGCGGCCTCTTGTGCCTGCACCCTGCTTCCTCACGCCACACGCGGCCTCTTGTGCCTGCACCCTGCTTCCTCACGCCACACGCGGCCTCTTGTGCCTGCCCCCTGCTTCCTCACGCCACACGCGGCCTCTTGTGCCTGCCCCCTGCTTCCTCACACCACACGCGGCCTCTTGTGCCTGCCCCCTGCTTCCTCACACCACACGCGGCCTCTTGTGCCTGCACCCTGCTTCCAAGGCTTTTCTGTGCTGCAGCATGTCAGTGTCATTCCGCTTTATGGCTGACATTCCGGTGTGCCGGTGTGTGGCCGCAGATCACAGGATGGACACCTGGGCTATTGCCATGTAATGTGGCTACTGCGACTGATAGTTATTACAGCTGATACGGTTTGGATCTGTAGTTATTACAGCTGATACGGTTTGGATCTGTGTCCCTGCCCACATCTCCTGCTGAATCGTAGCCCCCAATACTGGAGGTGGGACCTGGCGGGAGGTGGGACCTGGCGGGAGGTGGCCGGATCACGTGGGTGGATTTGGCACGAACGGTTGAACACTGTCCGCTGGTGCTGTCCTCACTGGTGAGTGGGTTCTGGTGGGGTCCGGTCGGTTAGAAGTGTGTGGCCCCTCTCCCCACCCCTTGCTCCAGCTCTTGCCAAGTGATGCGCCCGCTCCCCCTTTGCCTACCGCTACGACTGAGGCCTCCCCAGAAACAGATGCCAGCACCATGCTTCCTCTACAGCCTGCAGAACGAGGAGCCAATCAGACCTCTTTTCTTATGAATCACACAGTCTGAGGTGTTTCTCTACAGCAGTGCGGGAACGGCCTGACACAGGGACTCAGGCTGCTGTGAATGTCTGAGTGAGTTTACGTGTAGATGTGTGCTTTCACTCTGGCAGCAGAGCTGTGGGGCCATGTGGTGGCTGTGTCCAACCTTTTGAGGAACTGCTGGACTATATCCACAGCAGCTCATCTCAACTCTTATCTTAAAGTTGCTCTATTTCAAATGCCAGCATTTGATCAACACATTTTCAGCACGTTAGTTTTCCTCTTCACCAGCATTGCAGCGCTAGCCTTGCCTACTAACTCCTCCTGAAAATGGACTTATCTGAGTGACTTTCAAGATGTCTGTAGGTTACGGAAACCTCTGTGGGCTGGCCCGGGCCCAGAGCCAGCTCTGACAGTGTCCCTTCAACTTCCTGCTGGAGTTCTGCACCTGTACAACTCCACCCGGGCCCCCCTGGCCCTGTACACGCTGCTTATGCACTCAGGCAGTCTGCAAGTGCTGGATGGCCTGGAAGATGGGCACTGTGGGTTGCTGGTTTATTTAAAGATATGTTTAGTAAATGGCCTTAGGAAACCCAAGAAAAAAGTGCTGCCCAAGTAGACTATTCCATTCGTTGGCACTGATGCGCCACCATGGGCAGGACGTGGTCCAACTGAACTCATGTGGGCTGTTGGGAGAGGGCACTGGCCCTGCGCGTCCTGCTGCAGGTGACCTGTTCCTGAGCCCAAGCTCCCAGCAGCATCCCTTCTGCCCCTGCCCAGCTCTGTGCCGTGGGCCAGAGCATGTGCCTCCCCAGTTCCCTCTTTGTGCCTCATGCCCCCCCTCAAGGTCAGAAAGGGGCCAGTGCTGAAGACTGAGGCTGAAGCGTGCAGCACACAGCCACCCTGGGGTCCGGGAGCACTTAGCCGGCAAACCCACCTTGTTCATGTGCAGTTGCTGCTGCTGGAACTGCTGCTTGTGTTTCTCCAGAAACTGCTGATGCTGCTGCTGGATGACCAGGTGCTGCAGAGCCTGGGCGTTCTGGGGCAGCGGGGCCGACTGGGTTCGCCCCAGCGGGCGGTGCTGCCGCAGCTTGTGGATGGAGGGAGACACCCGGTCCGCACCAACCAAGGACTGTGCGTGGAGGGGCAGTGCTCCCAGGCCTGAAAGATACCAGTCTGAAGATAATTGGAGGAAGAAACAGCAGAGGGGAAGAGGAAGAAGAGAGGAGGGAGAGAGGGCTATTGAGTAAGTGATGGAGACAACTGCACCCTGTGCCCGCCAGCCCAGGCGCTCTGCCCTGGTGCCCCAGAGCTGGCTCGCTAACTGGGCCCCTTCCAGCTGAGGCTGGGGCCGTGAGCTGGTGCTTTGGAACTACAGGAACCGTAATTTGGAGGCAATTTTCTATGGAACATCAGGTCCACACAGGAAACGTCAGGAGTCCCGTGTGGCAGGTTTCAAAGAGGAAGCCCTTCCCAGGAGTGGCTACCACACAATTGTTCCTGGGGGCCACAGGCCCTAGAAAGGTGGGGTTTGGCCAGAACAGCACAGTGGGAGGGGAGAGAGGGCCACCAGTGTGCTGAGGAAGGCTGCCACGGTTCTGGAGCCTCCAGGTATTTCCAAAGACAGCCTGAGTTGTGAGAAAAATAATTGTCCTTCGGGTTGACATCATTTTAAGGTCTCTCTGAACACTGGTTTTAGACACAAAGATGGCATGAACACTTTGAAAAGTCCTGACGCTTATTGTCAAAACCCCTTTCTGAAAAGATGTGGCTAATCCCTGCCAGCTGAGTGGAGGGTACCCATTTCACCACACCGTCACCAACCCTGTATTTTTTTGATTAAAAGAATCCATTTTGATAGGAGATGATCTTGCTTTAATTGGCATCTGTATCTTGATTTATTTATTTATTTATTTTATTTTTTATTTTTTTTTGAGACGGAGTCTTGCTCTGTGCTCCAGGCTGGAGTGCAGTGGCCTGCAAGCTCCGCCCCCCCGGGTTCACGCCATTCTCCTGCCTCAGCCTCCCGAGTAGCTGGGACTACAGGCGCCCGCCACCTCGCCCGGCTAATTTTCTTGTATTTTTAGTAGAGACGGGGTTTCACCGTGTTAGCCAGGATGGTCTCGATCTCCTGACCTCGTGATCCGCCCGTCTCGGCCTCCCAAAGTGCTGGGATTACAGGCTTGAGCCACCGCGCCCGGCCTGTATCTTGATTTAAAACGCGACCTAGTCAAGTACACTTTTTCCTTCTGCATGCTTTTCATCGAGAGAGAGATATATGTATATATTGCAAATTGTTGGTTTAGGTAGTTTAACATTTTTCCATGGTTTTGTGGGCAAAAGGACCTAACGAACCCTCTGCCCGGCTCCGTGAAGTGTTCCCCTGGTAACCTGAGGGGAGTAAACACTAAACAATGCTGCTCAGGGTAAAAATGACCCTGACCCACTCAAGGGCACATGACCGGGAGAAATGACAAAGGAAGTGACCAAACCAGCTCTTGGAGGCCCTGGTGGGGGACTCTTTGGAACTCGGCATCTGCCTGAGGCAGCCTGCTCTTCCTGCCCCCGGGTGGGGCTACGTGCCAGCTGCAAGGGCTACGGGATCTCCAGGGATACAAGGTAGCCTGCCAGCAAGTGGCAGCTCCTGTCATGTCCTTCCCCCAGGACACTGATGTCGGCCCTCGCCAGGCAGCTGGGTGTGTCATCAGGTTTAGGGGAGCCCAGGCTTCCCAATGAGAGCCATGCATGCAGCTTAGTGCTTCTCAAGTCCCTTTGCAGCGGCTTTCTAAATTTAAGAAATACTATGTGATACGCAAACACAAAGGACACATCCAGACTAAACCCAGCCAGACCCCCAGCAAGACCCCAGCCAGACCCCCAGCAAGACCCCAGCAAGACCCCCAGCAAGACCCCCAACAAGACCCCCAACAAGACCCCCAACAAGACCCCCAACAAGACCCCCAACAAGACCCCCAACAAGACCCCCAGCAAGACCCCCAGCAAGCCTGCTCTTCGCTACCTTTTCAAAAGTTATTCACCAGTGTTCTCTAACCCACCATCCCTTTTCACCCAACCCCACAACTTTCCGGAAAGATACATTATCTTAAATTTTATTATCAATGCCTGGCTACTAAATTAAAGTGAATGACTAAAAATCCATTCAGAATCATTCCCTGAAAACGTTAAAAAAAGAATTTCAGAATTATCAGTTGTTGACGTGGGTATTATGTCAGAACCATTCCCTGAAAAGATTAAAAAAAGAAAAAAGTGAAGCACCATAAAGAGGGCATGTCAGGCTGGGCGCGGTGGCTGTAATCCTAGCACTTCGGGAGGCCGAGGTAGGTGGATCACCTGAGGTCAGCCTGGCCAACATGGCGAAACCCCGTCTCTACTAAAAATACAAAAATTAGCTGCTCATGGTGGCACACGCCTGTAATCCCAGCTACTCAGGAGGCTGAGGCAGGAGAATCGCTTCAACCTGGAAGGCAAGGTTGCAGTGAGCCCAGATCATGCCAATGCACTACAGCCTGGGTGACAGAACGAGACTCGGTCTTAAAAAAAAAGAAAAAAGAAAAAAAAAGGCATTTCAGAATTTATCAGTTGTTGATGTGGGTATTACGTGGGATTGAACTATTTCATGGAAGAAATAAGGAAGTCAGTCACACGAAGCTGCCTTCAGGGGATGCAAGGCTACGTAGTTGCTAAAAAGGTCTCTTCTCAGAAAGCAATAGGAAGCTGAAAGACATTTTCCTTAGCATTGTTTCCCCCCAAAGCCTTAGTGTGCATACCATTCAGGGGTGGAGGCGGTGATGAGCTACACAGTCCCCTGCCCAGGCCTGACGCTCTGCAGAGGAGGAGAAGGACATGCCAATTTCATAGGATTCAGCTTTCCGGCATGACACATGATAAGGAACAAGTGACTCAAGCCAGCAGTGTGAGTGGGGGCTGCACAGCGCTCCCCAGCTCCTTTTCATCCAGGTCTCTGCCTCCCGCCACCCTCTGCATGGGCCCAGGGATTTCCCAGGCCACCAGCTTCACTGTGGGACACAGGCCTATGCCCCATGGGAACAGGGCTTCACTTTCAGAACTGGCGTGAGCAGAGACCCCTGTGCAGACTGGCCCTGTTCCTTTTCCAGTTGCACTCCCCAGGGGCCAGCCCCTCACTCTCTCTCAGCCTATCTTGCCCACTCAGAATTTCACTCCGCTGCCTCCAGGGTGCAAACCCCAGGGCCGCCACACACGGGGACACCTTACCCGTGGGTGTCCTGAAAAGCGGTGCCCTGGCCTCTGCAGAGCAATGTGATTTGCTGGCTTGGTGGTTTCCAATTTGGATCCCTGAGATCATTAACAAGAGCTTCTGATGACAGACCATCATGTGGTCTTCAGGATATACTGTCAGGGACTTTCGAGCATAAAATCCTAGTCCATCAGGATACAATTCTGTGGTCGGTGACCCAACTGCAGGGGCTGGCTGTGTGGTGCTGGGTGGGGTGTGGGGCAGAGCCTGGCTCTTGTGGTCCCAGTGGCCCCTTGCTCTGGGCTCCTCCACTGGGCACCTTAGCCAGGGTTTTCCCAGTTTCTGCTCCTTCTGCCCAGAGCACTGGCAGAAGCCCCTCCCTGTGTCCAGTGCAGGAGCAACAGCTGACCCTGGTTCTTGGCGCTGGACGGCTGTGTCCCTGCGGCTGCTGGCTCCTGTTCCTCCTGGAGGGACTTGGTGCTGAGCCTGAACTGTGCTCGGTGGCCAGCTCCCCTGCAAGTCCACACTCTGATACGCAATCACAGTGACTGCAGTGACAGTTCCTGAGGGACACCCTGGAATGTACCCAGCCAACCAGGGTCTAAGTTTTAGCACACCCTGCTCAGCAATACCCAAACTAATTAGTGAGTTTGCAAACGCATCACTTAGACACACCCCACCAGGTATGGGGATTTCAGAAAAAAGAAGGCGAAAGACTGGGCTGCTCTCAAGTTCCAGACCCAGATTTGAAGAGCTGGTCTTCACACACTGGGAATCTGTTTAAGCGATGAAGTCACATGAGATGAACAATTCAGGGTGCCTGAGTCCTTAAAAGTCCATCTGGTGTATTTCCATTGCTTTTTTTCTGTGAAATTCTTTAAAATCCTTCCATTGAGAAGTACACCAAGCAAGAGTTAGATCCGACTCACCGTTTGTAATCCTGGCCGCCCAAGGAATAATCTGCACGCTCTGGATCCACTTGGACCAATCAGCGTCTGTCTGAGCTTCTGGGGATGGAGCTGAGGCCAGGCCAGGGCTGAGGACCACAGCCTCGCGTGCCAGTTATGGGACATGAACCACGGCCAGCTGTGCTCAAGCCCTTCCTGGGACTCGCTGTTTTCGGGGGAAATCAGGTCTAAACGGTAGCACGCAATTGCTAACAAAGAAGCCAGGGGCACCCTCCACTCAGCGTGTGACCACGGGACAGTGGATGTCCACTGCCAGTTCAGGAAGGCAGTAGCCTTAAGACGCTGGTGGCATGCTCTGAGTGTGTGGCCAGGATACTAGAAAGATCTGTGACAAGGTCACCTCCAGCAGGCACACTCATCTCCCCCTACCTGGGCCCTTCCCTCTCCGCCTGCAGGCTCCTACTGAGATCTCAGCTCTGATGCCACTTCTCCGGGAAACCTTCCCTAGGCCCACCTGTGGCACAGCCCTGGTCTCCAGCCTTCTCCTCCACATGCTGCACTACCAAGATCCTCCTGGGTCTCTTGGGTCCTGACAGCAGGTTACACGGTTACACGGTTCTCAAAGTCCTGCTTCTCAGCCACACGGGCACCACAGAGGACTTAGCTGGGCTGCCCAGGCAATGATCATGCCCACAGTTTTGTGTCCAACTAAAGCAGCAGCATAGGGCTCTGCACACTCTCCTCACCCAGGAATGGGCTCCTGAGCTCCACTCTCCGCCTCAGCTGGTTATGCAGAGACTAACCTCCGAGAATGTACCAGCCACTCTGCAGAGATCTGAGTCCACAGTGACCATGGGAGCAGCACATAAACAGGGATATAGAAGAGGCACGCCAAGCCTGTGACTGGCAAGCAGCTGCCTGGAGCGGTGTGGAAAGGGGCTGACTGGAGGTATGTGGCATGTAGGAGGCAGCTCCGGGAGACCCTGGACCATGGCTCACCCCTCTGGTTTCCACTGGTGACCTCACCCACAGAGGCCTCTGTTTCAAAGCATTTGTGACTGGAGGGCTGTTCTAGCTTTGATATCCTATTCACCTATGCACCATGATTACCCGTGAGAAGGTGGGTCTGTCTGTGGGCCAGGAAAACACAGGCACTGCTGTCCAGAGACCAACTCAAGCAGGAGTTCATCAACAACTGCAGGAAAGGGCAGAACACGGAGACGAAGATGCAGCGTGGTCCAGGGAAGGAGCAACAAGGCAGGGCTGGGGCAGGGCTGGAGGCCTGGGACGAGGGGGCAGATGAACCATGCCTGATGGAGAAAAGGGCCCTGGGAAAGAGCCTTGGCTCTGGGGGCCGGCTGCGGCCTGGTCCAGCACTGAGCTGGCTGGCCTGGCTGCTGTGCCGGACTAGGGAAGAGAAACGAGGCTTGTAGAACAAGGCTGGAGTTCCTGCTCACAAGCTGGGACTTCACTCCAGGCCAGTGCCACCCTGCCAGGACCCTCTGTGACAATGAGAACACTCGCAGGCAGCTGCGGCCGTGCACTGGATGTGGTGCACATGTGACTGAGAAACTGAATTCTAATTCTTTTTTTTTTTTTTTTTTTTTAAATTTTTAGTAGAGACAGAGTTTCACCGTGTTAGCCAGGATGGTCTTGATCTCCTGACCTTGTGATCCGCCCGCCTCGGCCTCCCAAATTGCTGGAATTATAGGCGTGAGCCATCACGCCCGGCCAACGGAATTCTACTCTGACTTTCTATTGGCCAACTGAATTCTAACTCTGACTTTCTACTGGCAGCTCCCCGTGGCTGGTGGCTCCTGACCTGGCCAGTACTGCTCTAGACGGCGTGGGGGCCTCCAGGCCTTCAAGGAGAGGCTGGTGGCTGCAGAAGGACAGACTGGAGGGGCAGGAACCTGTGCAGGAGGCTTCTTCCCACAAGAGGATGGGGCAATCCCAGCGGGTTCCAAATGAGGGCCTTACTCATGGCAGGGCTGGGGGAGGGTCCTGAGGCACTGAGGACAGACGGGGCCGGCTGGGGCAGTGAGAGAGTATGGGAGGTGGCAGGTTAAGAAGAACAAGGCAACGACGCCAACACCTGCAGAGGCATATGAGTGCACAGCCCGCTTCCCCTCATCGGGCGCACGGGGGCAGACCGTGAGTGTCCCCGCTTCCCAGATGGGAAAACAAGGCGCACAGAGCACAAGTGGCTTCCCAGGGTCACGGAGCAGGAGGAAGCTGGGACAGAGGCAGCTGTGTGGCTGCACTACGCTGCACACGTGACACTGGCTCAGAGGCTCCCAGCCAGGGGGTTTGCAGGATGAGCCGCTGGCAACCTGGGGAGGCCATGCAGGAGGAAGGGGCTTGCAGTTTTGGAGGTGGCGGCATGGGACTGGAGGGGCTTGCTGGGCACAGGTGTAAAGCAAAGCCAGAGCAAGCTGGGCAGCCATGCATGGGCCCCCTGGCACTACAGAGCCTGGGGAGGGCACCGTGGGCAGGTCCCCATGCCAATGAGCAAGCTGCACCTGGGAGGAAAAGAGGACTGACTGTACACAGGGAAGAAGCAATGCCGGGTTCAGCACGTTTCTCAGAGAGGTGAGATCCATGCAAACTCGATACTCAGGTTCTATCAAAAAGGCTGTTTTCCAAACACCTGATACACAAGATTACGCATGTTACTTAATCGTGCATCATAAACTGATTTAGAGAAGGAAAGAAGATGAGTGACAAACAGAAACATGTCTGACGAAGTGAATCCCAGGAATCCTGAAGGATCAGGCATATTTTACGTTTTTAAAAGATACGAGAGAGGAACTCAGGTGTCCTTCACTACCCACCCTCGTGCTAGCTGCTCTACAGCATCTAAGAGACTCAGACGCAATCTGAGATACATTCCTCCAGAGAGAGCCCCGTGCCTGCCACTGTGGCCGGGGCTCAGAGAGGCACTGTGAGGGTTGCCCCCTCCCTCGTTACACCACGGGCTCCTTTGCTCTAGAGGCAGGGACACGAATTCAAGCTTCTGGAGAAACAAACAGAAAGGGGCTCAGACACAAAACAAAGATTGCCCCATGTGGCTTCTGGGCAAAGAAGGAATAAGAAAGAATCCTCTCTGTCTAAACAGAGACACATGGGCAGCGCAAAACAAGAAAACACCAAAATCCACCAGACTAGTCAAGCCAGAGGCCCAAGCCCACCCAAGCCAGCCCCCAGTCCCACGCATCCTGCAGCACAGCCTCCTACAACACGCCACACCCGAGTTTTCACCAAGTTCCCTGCCAGAGTTTCACAGGGGCAGCTCTGAGGGTATTTCAGCTTTTCATTGGCAACAACAGATTTCCAGGAAGCCAAACCCAAAGCTATGAAGATGTATAATCATGACCCGCATGGCAAGGGGGTAGGTAGAGGCTCCCTCGTTTATTTATTTATTTGTTTCTTTGTTTATTTATTTATTTATTTTTTGAGACAGAGTCTCGCTCTGTCGCCCAGGCTGGAGTGCAGTGGCACCATCTTGGCTCACTGCAACCTCTGCCTTCCGGTTTCAAGCGATTCTCCTGCCTCAGACTCCCGAGTAGCTGGGATTACAGGTGTGCACCACCACGCCCAGCTAATTTTTGTATTTTTTTTAGTAGAGACAGGGTTTCACCATGTTAGTCACCTGGTCTTGAACTCCTGACCTCAGGTGATCCACCTGCCTCGGCCTCCCAAACTGCTGGGGTTACAGGTGTGAGTCACCACGCCCAGCCGGTGCTCCCTCATTTCTGAAGTTATACTTTCACATTGCTGTTGCTATGTAATTTCATAAGGAAGTTCCCATTTTTCTCTAAATTGTATTTTTCTAAATGTAACCACACCCCCAGACAGTGCACATTTGTAAAAGTTCTGCTAACACCAACTGACCACAAGAGTCAGTTCTGGGCTTCCAGTGCTGGCTCAGCTTGGTCCAGACAGAAACCCAAACTGCAAGAGCCAGCGGCCTCTCCCAAAAGGTGAGAAAGGAAAGTGACTTCCGCTTCCACTCCATCTACCTGACTCTGGGAGTGAGGCGTGGATTTTCACTGCAGTCACGGCAGCTACATTACGTGAGGGGGATGTGTGTTTGGGAACTGTGGGGGTGGGACAGGCGTGCCTTCGTCTCCTCCAAAGGCAGGCGAGGGCCGGGCACCGTCCAGAGCACGGGCAGCCTCAGAGCCTGGCTGCACCCAGGCCCATCTGTGCTCACCTGTGACGAGGGGCGCTTGTGCCGGCGGCTGCTCCAGTAAGACCATGTGCTGCAGAAGAGGGCTGTGCGCTGCCCCTCCGTCCCGCTCCAAGGGCGAGGTGCTCAGGTAGGGAGTGAGGTGGGTGCCGGGGAAAAGGGAGAGCCGCTGCTGGAGGGCGGGAAGGGTGAGTCTCTCGGCATCCTGCTGGCCCGCCGTGCCCTGGAAAGCACAGCCGAAGATGCTGGGGTGGAAGGGCCCATCACCGCCACCCCACGCCGCACGGACCCACGGGGGCTGACTTACAGCAGCAGGGCCGGTGGCAGGCAGGCCCAGCGTGATGTTGGGCAGGGACGGCGACGTGTAGAGGGGAAGTGGAGCGGCCGAGCCTTCTCGCGCCACAAGTCTGTGCGCCAAACTCGTCTGGGGACAGAACACATGATGACTGTCACAGTCTGTTATGGCCAAACATCAGCAATATACACCAAGAAAAACAACGATGAAAACACCTGTGGCAGCCTGCACTGAATTCTGATATATGAGTGCAAACATACATGTAGCAAATGATACAGCAACGAGAGCATGAGATTTCAACACGCACCACAACATGAAAGCCCAATGCACGGCTCCAGTTTCCTCCCCACGACACGAGTTCTTCTGTCACCTTGTCCAGCATCATCGTGTTGATTTCAATTCAGTGTGATTATTTACCACAGACTAGTCAGAAGGAAATTTAGGATAATACAGTTTCCAATGCCGTTTTGCAGTTTCTAGGATAATACACTCTACAATGCCTTTTTGTAGTTGGCGTTGGCCATGTCTTTCCAGACAACAAGAAAAGCAGAAACCAAAAAGGAAATAAAATTTAATTGTACATTGAAAAATAACTATAAGGGTATGATTGGATTGTTACACAAAGGATAAATGCTTGAGAGGATGGGCACCCCACACTCTGCATGACGTGACAACTACGCATTGCAGGCCTGTATCAAAACATCTCACGTACCCCATAAATATATACATTATGTACCCACACAAATTAAAAATAAAAAGAAAATCATAAAACAAGTGCTTCTATGAAAGGCAGGCAATGATGACAACAATACCAACCACGTATGAGGCAGGTGAGGGTCAGCACAGAGCGCTTGCGAATCAAACAACTAACAGTGAGAAAAGCATGCGGTGAAGACCAGTGACGGCAGAGCTCAGGAAGCGGAAGACGTTCAGGAAAACACATTATGGTCATCTGGAAACGTATTTTGAAACCCAAAAAACTGGCAAACATTTTAGAAAAATGATAATACCACCTTGGCCTAGAGGAACCGCAAACGCTGTTGAGAGCGCTGCAAATCACTTAGTGGCATCCTTTCTGCAGGACAATATGGCAGTCTATGGCAAACGCCTTCAAAATCAGTCTAACCTTTGATCCTAGAGCTCCACTCTTGGGATGCAACGTTAAGAAATAAGGAGAAGGCCTGATGCCAATGAAGCCTCGGCTGTGGGGCTGAGCACCCAGCAGGCAGGGCAGAGCAATGTGGCTTCCCCAGCACCTCGGTGTTAACAGAACAGAGGGACATTGCACATCAGGACACTCTGGGGGTTAGGAACAATCTTGGGTGATTACTTGGACACTTGTTTATGATACATTAAGTTAGAAAAACAGGTTATAGGTCATGTAACTTTTAAAGAATGGGCTTGGATAAAGCAAACATAAGCCAGGAGTACAGACTAGAAGGCCACACAGGAAGGGTCAGCAGCAACAGTCTCCAAGGACTTGAACTACTGTGATATTTAACATCTTTTTGCTTGTAGAATCAATGTGTTTTGCTAAAAAGGACAATAGTTTATCACCACTATATCCCCTACACAGTAGCTACTCAAGGAATGTCTGCTGAATGGATGGGCAAACAGAGAATGAATAAATGTTGTTGTAATCACGCTAGTTAGTGGGGTTTGGCAGATAGAAATCCCCTTGCCAGAAACTAACATTAACAATGAATAAACAGATTCCATTATACTCTCTGCCTCCATGACAGCAACTTTTTTAGCTCCCCCAGATGAATAAGAAAATGCGATGTTTGTCTTTCTGTCCCTGGCTTAGTTCACTTAACATGAAGGCCTCTAGTTCCATCTGTGTTGCTGCAAATGTCAGGATTCCATCCTTTTTGATGGCTGCATAGTACTCCACTGTGTACAGCACCACATTTTCTCTGACTGTTCATCCACTGAAGGACACTGAGGTTGATTCTGCCTCTTGCCTACTGTGGAAGATTTATGACTAAGGCCTCAAAAGCACAGGCAACAAAAACGAAAACAGACAACCGGGACTCTGCTCAACTAAAAAGCTTCTGCACAGCAAAGGAAAAAAATCACCAGAGTGAAGAGACGACCTGCGGAAGGGGGAAACGTGCAAGTTATTCATCCGACAAGGGAAGAGTATCCAGAATATGCAGGGAACTCCAGCAACTCACCAGCAAAACCCAAAGCAGCCCATATAAAAGTGGGCAAAGGATCTGAAGAGATATTTTCCAAAAGACACATGAGTGGCCCGTGGGGACATGAAGAAACGCTTCTCCTGACAAACACTTACACTCAGGCTGTTCCTACAGAACAAAAAGTCCAGCCTTCTCACTTAGGAGCAAATTCACAGTGCACCTCGCCCCAGAGGAAACCCTGCAACTCACTTTAGATTTGCTCACACATTACACTGTGTAAGTAATGATTAAAGAGCTACTGAGAAAAACATTTTTCCTAGACAATTTTTTTTTTGTCAAAAGTTAAAGAATTATCAGTAAGTTATGCTGTAGAGAAAATGCTTGTGATTTCCAGGAAAGCACAACTGTGCTTGTGTTATTATCATTTGGGAACAAAATAAGGAGACGTTCTAATGTTTGCAAAGTTTCTATTTCCTTTGTAAGCAAGGTTTTTTTTTTGTTTTGTTTTGTTTTGTTTTTTTTTAAGCCCATTTCTGGAACTAAAGGAGCCTTCTGAGAATTTGTTCCTTGGAGATGCTGACTGGTCCACTTGAGAAATCGCAGGGCGCTCTGCCATCTTCTGTCTCGGGGCCGAGCCCTGCGGGAGGCTGGAGCCCCCTGGACCTCACCTTAGGATGTGTTCAGAGGCAAAGTCCGCGGGCCTGAAGTCAGAGCATCGAGGCACGCGTGTAAATAACAGCAGCAGCGGCCACAGAGGAGCTGTCCCTTTAAGTACCTGGATGACACACTGGGCTTCCCTGGCCCTGTAGAGGAGGAGGTGCCCGGCACACTGGGGCTTCCCTGGCCCTGGAAAGGAGGAGGTGCCCAGCACACTGGGCTTCCGTGGCCCTGGAAAGGAGGAGATGCCTGGCACACTGGACTTCCCTGGGTCCGGGGGGCCTTCAAGGTACAGTAGTGTTTCTGGGGGCCCCAGGGTGAACAGAAAAGGCAGTGCTGAGAGCCAGGCTGGCAGGCCCCTGCTCCCGCCATGCCCCCATCCACTCAAGATGCCCCTTCTGATGGGCAGGCTCACTAGCCTCTGCACCACGTGGGAATGGAGAACCAGCCCCTGGCTGTGAAGCACGGGCATTCTCAGAGACCTGTCCAACTCTAGCGATACTGAAACCCAGAAAGGGCGCCTGGGTGTGATCCAACATGCAAAGGCTGCCCCTGCCCACTCTAATGAACATCTGATGTGGGACATGGACAATGGCACCTCTCGGTATTTCCTGCAACTCCTTCTACACGTTCTATTAATTTCCAGTAGTTTCATTTACATACCACGATTTGTAAAAATTAACACAGAACTGGAATGACGCAGACCCACCCAAACAAGGTACTGTTCCAATAGTAACTACCATGTACACAAGTGCCCCATTTTAAATAAAAACCTGTATCTAGGACCACAATTAACAAGATGCAACCAGTGTTAACCTCACAGGGCAGGAAGTAATTTCTAGGTTGCATTATAAGGCTTATTACTGGTAGACCTCAGCTATGACCACAGCCATACAGAGGACTGTTAAAACTTCTAATCATCTAAATAAGTACTGAAGCTGGCAGGCTGAAGACAGGTAATAAAAGAAATCGATGTATGAAGTAAAAAGAATAAGAGAAAATGGGGATTAAGCAGCCTGGAGGCAAAGTGCAAAATTCGTTCCTAGCAGTAATTCTAGTCTCTAAAAATGTTTATACATAAACGGTCTTGAAATTTGAAATGAAAATGCTAAACACTCATGCCTCTGTATCCCAGCTAAGATTCGCCAGTCCTCTGGAAGGGCAGGATTCATTTCTAAATATTTAAGAAGGAAAGTCAATAACTATATTTAATAAATTATAGCCTTCTGTAAGTTGGAGAGAATTCAGAAGGAACCTCCCACTCAGTAGAACTGTGCCCCGTGAAGCAGAGAGCATTTCCAGCTCAACTCATCAGAAAACTCTGCCAAAGCGTCCCCCTCCCCCACCGCCCCATGGTCAGGCTGACCCAGGCCCAGGGCACCACTCAGCCCGCAGACTGCCTCTCTCTGCCTCTCTCTTCTCCCCTGTGCTCTGGAGGTGGCCTCTCCTCCTCAGTGGGGCATTGTGTAGAGTGAGGGGCGGGTCCTTGCTGCCTGCCTGGCTCCGTCCCTGGGCCTGGCACAAGGCGCTCCAGACACGTGTGGGATAAAGACAGAGGGCGCAAAGGAGCTCAAGATACACGGAGTGAGGTCCTGGGACCTGCTGCCCTGGAAAACCTCTGGGTGTGGTCAGGGCGTGACTCTGTCAGCCTGGGCACCACTCCTCCCCGCCTTGCCGCTCGGCTCCTGCGTCTGACATCCTTCCCACCCGGGGACCCCAGGCGTCCCCTGACTCCTCTAGCTTTTGCCAACGTGCTTCCCAGAACCACTTGGGGTCTGATGAAGGCAGGGGATCGGGGTGCTGAGCTCTGCGGTCTGAGACACCTAGTTCCCATGATGCCTGGAAAAGCTCCCCGCTCTGTGGCTTTGGCCGGCCCTGCCGTGCTGACCATGAGTGACGCTCCAGTCGACCCTGACACATGGTTTGTTGGCCAACATTGCGTTGTGTATTTCTCAATACGAAATAAAAAATTTTAAGTCTCACTGAGCAACTATGCCCACGTGCCCATGGCCTCTCAGCCACCCTCAGACACTGGCAACTACGGTGAGCCGGGCAGCAGGGTCCTGTCTACCTAGAGCACCTGCCACGTGTGGGCTTGTGCTGCGACACCATCTAGGGACATCTGCTCTGGAAGAGGTCAGGAGAAAGGACCAGGCTCAGGGCTGTCCCCGACGTGCCTGGAATGAGTGTGTTCATAATGCAAGGAGATGTCTGTGATGAGAGGAAGGCAGGAGGGTTAAGCAACCTCCAACTGCGTCCTTTTCAGGATGGTTCATAGGCCACTTTCCCTCACCCCAAACTGGAAGGTAAAGAGTGAAGGGCAAGTGCAAAGCGGGATCATTTCGAGCCCATCTGTCCCGAGTCCGACCCTCGCCATGGGACACAGGACAAACGCTTGGCACTGACCTCCGCCGGGATGCTGGGGACGGCGGGCGTGATGCCGTTCTCTGCGCTGACGCTCCCGGAGCTGTTGTTGGGTGAGCTGGGTCCGGAGCCTGGGGCGCTGCTGCATGCGGAATCTGCAGAGGCAGAAATACCCTGGTGAGTGTTACTCCACGTGGAGGGAGGGCCACGCGGAGGGAGGGCCGCGCTGACCTGTGGCCCGAATGCCCGGTGCCGTCCACGGACCTGCTTGTTAGCTTGCGACAGGCAGAGGTCCCAACAAAAAGAACATGGCCATGGTTTCAAAAAAGAAAGTATGATGCTGATTTCTGATTTTCCAGTTTGGCCACTGACTTCACTTTTTCTAGGACATGCACGTTACCAATTTTATACCTCGTTTGATTTTCAAGACCATTTTACACACCAAAAAGATAAATCCTTAAACACTTATTAGTAACCTAACAACAGAAGACCAGGAAATGCAGAAGCTAAGTGACTTTGAAAAGCAAAAGGTCAGCTTTCCTGTGCTCACTATAAAAAGCTTCGTTCAAAATAAAGCAACCTACCATTAGTGTTGACTCTGGGCTGAATCCTCTCATTTTCCCTACATAGCAGCCAGCATCCAGGGGAAAATATAGCCAGTGTCTCCTGAGATCTATCAGTGCTACTGAAAAACACACGCTCAGACAGTCTTAGAGGATCTTTAACCATCTGCGTGGCTTGACCCTGGTTAATGAGACCAGATTCCGCTCTGACTGAATGTGACTTCCAAAAGGAGCCACGTCCAATCCAAAGATCCCTTCACCTCTGAAGGGGCCTGCTGTTATTTCGGGCACACACATCCACCGTGGGAGGCCACTACAGCTCTTGATATTCATGCAAGGATTTGTTTGGCTTGTCATACGATGTTTAGTTTAATGGCATTTTAACAATGGCATCATCTGGTTAAAGCTTTCCAAAGAAAACACAACGTGACCTATTTGCCTCGAGAACTCCAGGCGTCTGCTGTTCAGCAATGACTCCGGGTGCTCAGAATCTCGCCCCAACCCATACGCGCAGCGCATACAGGTCAGAAGGAAGGGGCATGGTGGGGGTCGTGGAGGGGAGGTTAACGGACATTTTCCCCAAGTAGCCCCTCAAAGGAGCCGTCCCCAGCAAAGCCTCCTCCACGGTCTGCTTGCTGCCCGGGTCCTCCCGGAGCCCACGAGGCTGCAGGCGCCCACTCATGCTGACTCACATGGTATCCACGCCTGCTGGAGGTGGTGACTCTGCAAATATAGCCCTGAGCCACAGTGAGGAGGATGAGGAGGGTGGGGGGACAGGAAAAGACACCCACTGCTCCCCCAACCTGGCAGACCTGATTCCAAACATAGCTCATCCATCTCTCAGTCACTGTTTGAGGAAGGTGCCATTATGACCCTGTTTCACAGAAGAGGAGATTGAGGCACGGAGCAGTGACATCACTCGTCCCAGGCCACAAGGCTTGAGGGAGCCGTCAAGGGCGTCTGCATACCAGAGTTAACCCAGCTAGACGGTGAAGGTGCGCCTCCTCTGTTGACCATGCTGCCCACCCAGGAACACACTGGGTACACCTTGCCCTTGACAGCAGGGCAGTCTAAACCTCTCCAGGGCAAACCACTATGTCCACCCAGAAGCCCTACACCAGCTGCTCCCCATGGCTCCTGGAGCTCAAATGAGTGTGGGGTCAGCTCACGGTCCCGGGCACTGAGCATGAATACAGGACCGGGTCCCGACCCTGTCCCCTCCTCTTTCTCTCCCTGGTCCTCCCACCCCCTCACTTCCACCAGATACTAACCCCAGAGGTAGGCCTCTCTGGCTGCCGAGGCCATGTTATTTGCACTGTGAGTGGGCATTCTGAGAATGCCAACTGGGCTGAGCCAGTGTTTGCATTTCACTCAAGAAAGCAGGACCCGCCTACTCTAGTCCCCTCCAACTCTCCCACCTCTGCCCTACCTGAAGCCCATTGTGGCCCGCCCTAGACCCCTGCTCTCTGATGTTAACCTGTCTCCAGCTACACACCAAGATCCAGCAGATCTTCCTTGAAATGGGTGCCTCCCAGCTGTGTCATCAGATAAACACCCTCACACATGTGCCTGGGGAGTCCGGACAACTTTTGGGGATGGTAAAAATTATACGTGTAACTTTCCACCCACTTTTAACTCAATGAGGTTAATTTTTTTTTTTTTGCATTCTACTTCCTGAATAGGTCTAAGAAAATTCATATAAACGCATAATCTTCATAGTATTATTTAGATCAGCAAAACAGGAACACCACTGGAGGTGCACAAAATGCGTGTGGCTGAAATTGAGTGGAGGATGCAGGATGGGGCAGGAAGATGGTGAGAACTCAGTGGTGAGGAGGGCCCAGAACACAGGCTGCGGGAAGGCGTGCAGGGTGAGCAGGATTCACTCTGGACAGAGTGCGTATGGGAATGCATTTTCTTCTTTGTGCTCTACAGTAGACACCCATTTAATTAGTGACTGAGAAAAAGCAGAGTATCCACCTGGCTCTCTATCTGCCAAGAACCGCGACTGCCTCCACCGCTCCGTGTGGGACCACCCTGCCTAATACCTGTCTTCTGAAAATCGGCTCCACGCAGAGCAGCCTCCCCACGGTGGCAGCTCCCTGGTGCCAGTGCTGGCCAGGAGATGCACAACCCTCTGCCTCTCTGCCCCAGCCCCACTCACCCGCCAAGTCCCAGTGAAAATGCCACCTTCTGCAGAGCTCTGCTGGCTCAAGGTGGCTTGTGCTGATCTCCCAGCCCCTAGGTCCCTCGGCATGGGTTCTCTCTATGCCACAGCTCAGCAATGATCACGCCCTGCCACGCATGGCTCCTGGGTGAGCTCAGCACTGATCACGCCCTGTCACGCATGGCTCCTGGGTGAGCTCAGCACTGATCACGCCCTGTCACGTATGACTCCTGGGTGAGCTCAGCACTGATCACGCCCTGTCACGCATGACTCCTGGGTGAGCTCAGCACTGATCACGCCCTGTCACACATGACTCCTTGTTGAGTTCAGCACTGATCACGCCCTGTCATGCATGACTCCTGGGTGAGCTCAGCACTGATCACGCCCTGTCACACATGACTCCTGGGTGAGCTCAGCACTGATCACGCCCTGTCACACATGACTCCTGGGTGAGCTCAGCACTGATCACGCCCTGTCACGCATGACTCCTGGGTGAGCTCAGCACTGATCACGCCCTGTCACACATGACTCCTTGTTGAGTTCAGCACTGATCACGCCCTGTCATGCATGACTCCTGGGTGAGCTCAGCACTGATCACGCCCTGTCACACATGACTCCTGGGTGAGCTCAGCACTGATCACGCCCTGTCACACATGACTCCTTGTTGAGTTCAGCACTGATCACGCCCTGTCATGCATGACTCCTGGGTGAGCTCAGCACTGATCACGCCCTGTCACACATGACTCCTGGGTGAGCTCAGCACTGATCACGCCCTGTCACACATAAGCTCAGCACTGATCACGCCCTGTCACACATGACTCCTGGGTGAGCTCAGCACTGATCACGCCCTGTCACACATGACTCCTGGGTGAGCTCAGCAGTGATCACGCCCTGTCACTCATGGCTCCTGGACGGTCTCACGTGTGATGTGCTGCTTGCTCAAATTAGATCACAAGCTCCTTCCAAGCAAGGACTCTGTCTCACTATTTTTGTGCCAAGCCCAGTGCTGACTCAAAAACAGTTCTCAGTAGTCACTGGGTGACAACAGGAACACCAGCTTTAATACTCAGAAGAAGCTTGCTGAAGACTCTGGCTCACCCACTGCAGCTTAAAACAAAAAACAAAATGCAACGGTTCACGGGTCCATTAGAGCTGGCCAAGCAAGGCACTGCTCACAGAAAAAAGGCTGCATTGGAGTTTGCAAGCTTTCAACTCACATGATTTCTCATTTGAACTGAATCTTCCCCAGTCAGTTAGACATAGTGAAACTTTAGATTATAACATTTCTTCATGGCTGTAGACAAGGTCTGTGTGTACTACAATGGCCAGAGGAAAGAAACCTACATCAGAAATGACAAATATGGAGTTCCCCCTGGGCATGAAGGTGTCAGATACTTTTTAATAGAAATCCACAAATATCCAGACCCAGACCCTTAGACTGGGGCTAAGAGCTCCTAAAGTAGACAGGGGACAGGGCACGAGAAACAGGCAGGGCCCTGTGTTTGGCAGGGAGGTCTGGCTCTCAGCTCACTGCAGAAGCAGAGTCCATGTGCAATGCCAACGCTCACACGCACAGGGCATGGCACCAGGAGCCCCCTCCCAGCCTTCCCTAGGCCAACAGCCTACTCAATGGAACTATGCCTTTCACAGACCAGCTACCATGAGCCTCGGCCTTCAAATCGAACGCTTTCTGTTGTGCAAACATGTCCACTGCCTCCCCTCTATCCAGGCTGTCCCCAAGCAGCCCCTTTATCCTGGTGCTGTGATTTCAGGAGCAGTGGGTGAGGGGGTGTCCCCTGGTGGTGGTTGGGGGTGGGTGGTCCTCTGGATGGGGATATGCCCTCGAGAGGGACGGCTGAGCCTTCAGGATGGGGCTCTGCCCAGTCTTGTCCTTCCGCGTGTCCACCACTAGGTGGGGCCAACCGCGACACGTCATTAGGGCCAAGCTGAAGCAACTTCACTCCTTGCTTCCCCCTCCTGCTCAGCTGATGGGTGCTCCGGTGTGGGAAGACGTTAAAATGTCCCGGTGGTTCAGACACTGCTCAGGGACGCGGAGAGCAGGGCAGGGAACACGATTCAGCACTACTAGGACGGCATTGGTTAAGATCCACCTTCAGAGAAGCCTCAACTCAAGCTCCTGAACGGATCTCCCGCAGTGCCAAGCTGGGGCACCCTCGTGTACCTGAGCCCAACTAGAACCAGCTCTGAGTCACTAACGCCGAGAGCGGGGCCTGGCTTAGACACGCTAGAGTCATCAAGCCTGGTCCCCTGGGCCTGGCACTTCCAGTGTCATGGGAACAGGACCACACTGGGGGTTGACAGCATCAGGCAGACACGTGAGTTTTCACAGGCTCCCGAGAGAAACCGCCCAGGGCAGGAAGGCCTGGTAGAGAGGGCAGTGGGGCAGGTGTACCTGCTCAGCTGACATACCTGTGACATCCAACGGACGCTTTTTTAGAGCAGTGACCACTGGCCCGTCTTTCCTGCGTAGCAGAGGGCTGCTCCGTCTTTCGGCCACTTTCTGCTTTAGCCTGGACCGTAATTTCAGATTCGGTTCAGAAGCTGCACGGAAAGGAGATGTCATTACAGCCAGGCAGATACCACTGGGCTCAAGGTTATCCTGTTGGTGGTTTTTTAAAAATATGCACTCTGGGGAATACATATTCGCTCAACACTGCCGTGTTGCTGCAGGGGACAGCGACGGGAACTCACGAAGCAGGGGATTCTAACCCCATTCATCAGTCCCAAATAATGAATAAAACGTATCTGGTGCTTTGGATAAATTTCTGTGACCACAGCATTATGCAAGCGCTGGCAGTATCTTCACAGAATCAGGCCACGACTGCGGTTTCCAGCAGATGGGGAACAGGACTGACAAGCTGATTCTCTGGGTGTGGCAGGGGGTTGCTGAGGTGTGAAGTCACTTAATGGCGATGTCTCGTAAGTAATGCTCTTCTAGATAATACACCCCTATCTTTATAGCTGTGTTGCTCTAAAATCAGAGAAAGACCGACAAACAGGGATGTGACACCGGGCCCAGGGATGTGAGGATGGTGTCTACGGTGCACACTTTTTGCTCACCTGTGCATCGCCCCAGCTATGTCAGTGAGGCCTCCAGAGCGTGAGGCCGCTATCCCTACCCCCACCTGGTGAGGCTCAGCAAAGCCCATCCCAGCACCTGTGCCAGCTTCACCTCTCATCTGACCACAGGGTGAAGGTACTGGGCGTGGGTCGGTTTCTGTGAACACCTCTGCCTGTGCGGACAGAGCCATTTGCGAATCTGCATCTTCCAACCCATGGTGGTTCCCAAGTCATCTGCATCTGGAGCCCAAACCTCTGGGGCAGGGCCTGCCTTGGGAAGCACCAGGGATCTAAAGGCAGCAACCGGAGGCAAAGAAACCCCCAAACCCACCCGGGAGAGGTTATTGGCTTTCAGAGTCCAGAACAGCGCCAAGAATGCTGCCGCGGAGGCGTGTGCCACACAAGCCTTGGAGTTCTGAGGTTTTACTTGGCTACTTGCAAGGTTCTACCCCTTGTAGATTTGCAAATTGGGAGATTTTACCTCTTTTTAAAGAATCAGCACTCCTGCTGTTCTTAATCTTTCTGGAACAGGAAGTGCACTGCTTCCGGAGCAACCAGGAATGAGAGGGAGTTTCTCCTGGAAGCAGGACTGATGTGGCTGGGCGACGGGGACCCGGCCCCATGTGACTTCACTCTTTGGGACATGCGGGCAGCCCAGGACCTTCCCACTCTGGAAAAGGCTTTGAGTCAGGGACAGTTTTTCTGCAGGTCTTAGAAGGATGTGGGAGAAGCAAGCTCCCTAAAACAGGCTTCCCAGAGAAACCAGAGGCGCTGTGAGCAGGTGCCAGACTCTGAGCCTCAGCCTGCTCTGCAGGGAGCGGGGCCTCTGTGCTGTGGCTCGGAGGACCTAGATGACGACAGATGATGGGTTCAGCCACAAGCCGGCCTCTCCATGGGTTACTGACCAGGGCACGCTCCTGTGCCTAACACAACCGACTGAGGCAAACATAAATTCACATGCTCCACTTCTATTTCCACGCTGGGTTTCTTGCCATTATTCGAAAAACAAAACACAACAAAAAAAGCCAAGCCAAAACACCCAGCTGATGACTAGGCAAGAAAACAGCACCTCCTCTCCCACCATCACATGTCCCCTGAAACCCACATGGGCTCTGCAGGGATTCCCCGGGCCAGGGACAGGAGCCGCTGATGGTGGGCAGGAGCCACTTCTGAAAGGCAGGGGCTGTGTGTGCCCACAGAAGGGCACAGGGTCCCCGGCCCTGTGTCAAAGGCCTTCCTTGGTGGCTGCCCTGCCACGTGGAGTGGGACATGTGGCATCGGGAGGCAGGCATGACGTGGTCACTCCAGGCCACCATGGACTGGCTGGGCTACTGCAGCCCAGTGCACGGCCTCCCCCAGGCCCTGTGGGGTCACCACGCTGCTCCCAGGTCATCAGTCGGGCGGCAGATCCTCCGCAGCCCTGCCAGGCACTCCAGACTCCTTGTGCAAGAGACTCTCGAGGACAGCCCCGTGGTGGCTGCCTCGCCCTACCCCTCCCCTCCCCTCCCCTCCCCTTCCTCAGGCCTCTGCTCCACACCCCTCCCAAGGCTGCCCTGATCCTCCACAGCCCCACTGCCCCCATCACAGCCCCACTGCCCTGTTTTCCTCCCAGCTGCCTTCTCAGCACCTGGAATTCTTCTGTCCCCTCACCTGTTTATCCTCTGCCTCCCAGCCTGCACACCTGCCTGGCTTCCCTGATTCTAGCTGACTGCACGTCCCTGGTTGGCTCTGCCTGCAGGGTGGCTGTAGCTGACCAGGAGGCTCCAGGACACCACGTCAGCACTGCCAAGGGCAGCATGGCGTGAGGCTGGGGCCCTTCACTCGTCCCTGCCCCATGGGCTATTCAGCACTCTGACTTGCCCCCAGAACCTATCAGACAAGCAGGGCTTCGGATGCAGGGCTGGGGGAGGGGACTGAGCAGCAGCACGTGGACCAGGAGAGAAGGGGGACGCTGGAGCCTGCCCAGGGCACATGAAGTGGCCTTTCTGGGGAGAACAGAGAAGGCCTAGGGGGCAGAAGGCAGCGGGGGGAGCTGCATACCACGAGGACCAGCTCGCTGCCTGCTTTCAGGGTGACCAGCCTTCCTGCTTCCTGCCCTCCCTCATTACTTCCAGGCCGGGCGTCTCATAGATTGACTTAAGACATAGTGACCTACAATTTCAGTCCTTCAAATGCATGTGTCTTAAAGCTTGCACAATGCCTGTAACTCCAATAATTCTGCCAAAGGCAGCCAAAGTGGAAGATGCAGGTAAGCCGGTACCTGGTGATGGTGAGGGTGGAGGCTGCACATGCACCGGCTCAGGGCAGCAGCCCCTTCACCACCCTCGTGGGCCTTCCACTCATTCCAGGCACGATGTGGCCAGGCAGAGGAACTGCAGGAACTGGATCCCACCCCTAAGAGGGCTGCAGGTACACTGATAGAACCAAAGTATCAGGCCAGAGGCCTCATGGAAAAGTCGCTCCCACCAAGCATGGGTGAGGGCAGGAAGGATGCCAACTGTACTTCCAAATGCAGTGTCTGCTCCTTAGGGAACGGGGAGCAGGTGAGATTGTTTCTCCTGAAGCCAATCAAGTAAATGACTAATTAAGGCGGCACAACATTCTAATCACAACCTTAAAATTCAACACAGTGCCCAATGCCTAGCAGGTGCCTTCATCCTTCTGCCAGAAGCAATTCTGATGGAGACACAGGCTCGCTCCTCCCAACTTAAACATCCTGAGAGTCAGCTGCAGGTGAAGCGGCTCTCAGAGCCAGAATGCTTTAACTGTTTAGCGGCCAGGTTTACAGAGGGGATATGCGTGCACGTGGCACGAGTGTGGAGGGCGGTATCTTTGTGGGCCTGATGCAATGTCCAGCAGCCAGCGAGGAAAGAACCCATTGATTTAGCAGCAGAGAGTGCACAGAACATCGCCGTGGGACGGGGCGTGCAGGCAGAGCTGCAGAGAGGAGGTAACTGCTTCCAGCTGCTCTGCCTTGAAATCCTAAAGTGACACCAAAGGCAGTATTAAAGAGGATAAACACAAGAGGACAAAAACACAAGTGCAGAAGGAAGGGGCTGGAGAAAAACTTGAGAATTGTCAGAAGGGGGAATAGAAGGATAAAAAGATGAAAAATGGGAGTGCAAAGATCCTACAACAAATTGCTGAAAACTCCAGGAGAGGAGAGAATCAGCTGGGTGGAGAGAATCATGAGCAGAAACTCCAGACCTACTTCGCCAGCTGAAGAGGAGCTGGACACGGAGGCCAAGAATCCCCCACCTGCGGGATCCCAAACTGCTTCAGAGTTCTGGGGACAAAGGCTCGGCCTTGAGAACAGTTTTGTACTCGGCAACAGCCACACCGAGGGCAAGACGAGGACCTGAAAACCCTGCAGGAAATGACTTCCATCCCCAACCAACTGATCAACCAAGGGTGTAACAGGATAACGATATTTACCAGTAACGAGGACTCCAAAAACACATGCTCCATGCACGACTTCTCCAGGAGCCACTGGAAGACGTGCATGACCAAGATGGCAGAGGAAAGCAAGCACAAAGGAGGCCGCAGAAAGGAGGTCACGGGGCCCGGGAGAGGAGGCGGGGGCCAGGCCGGGAGAGCAGACCATTCAGACACACCGGGCAGTGGGGCCAGACGCACCAGGTGGCCTGCTGTGCGGAGGAGAGTCTCCTAGGTATGCTGAAATGTGGGCCTGAATAACAGGCAGGTGTGAAACTAAGCAAATGAAAAAAAAGATCAACTTCCGGACAAATTTCTACAAGGTGAATGCAGCCCAGGTGGACTCTGGTTCTGCTGTGAACGTGACACAAGCTGTAATAACGCAGGCTGGATAGGCAGTCAGGGACGGCCGTTCTCCCGTCATGAACATCATGGGGGTCTATGTGAATGTACATTTATTTACTTTGGTAAAAATAAAAAGATAATTCTGGCCGGGCTTGGTGGCTCACGCCTGTAATCCTAGCACTTTGGGAGGCTGAGGCGGGCAGAGGTCAGGAGTTCGAGACCAGCCTGACCAACATGGTGAAACCCCATCTCTACTAAAAATACAAAACTTAACCAGGTGTGGTGGTGGCACCTGTAGTCCCAGCTACTCGGGAGGCTGAAGCGGGAGAATCGCTTGAACCTAGGAGGCAGAGGTTGTCCAGCCTGGGCAACAGAGCGATGTTCCGTTTCAAAAAATAAAATAAATAAAATAAATAAAAAGATAATTCTAAGAAGACAAATGCCAGACTGGAATCTAACTTCTATAATACATGAAAACACAGGATTGAAAACAACATATAAACAGTACTTACAAAGGAACAAGAAAAGACAACGCCTGATAGAAAAACAGGTAAACGAACTGCCACTAAACGACATCCATTCAGCATGGATGGAGCTGCCTCGTGTGCCCTGCATGGTTCCAGATGCTGGGCACAGGGTGGCTCTGAAGACAGGGCCTGCTTGGGGCGGTCCTGCCGCCCAGCTCCGGGGCACCAGCCACC